GAGCATGTTCAATTTCAACTTCGACTCTGTAATCCAATGTGTGGGCTTGCCCTTGCCCTAGCAGCCACAGTGCAGGCCCTCCTGCCATGAAAACATTGAGACTGTGCCAGGTTTTGCTCAGAACTGGTCAGCCTAGGAGGGAACCAATCCCTTCTTCTTCAGGTGGGGGAGCCCATCGATTTCAGGGTGGCTGGAGTGGCTTTGGTTGTGCTTGTGACAACAGCGGCTGTACTGCTGTGAGGATAGATTCCAAGGGGGCAGGATTCTTCTTTGCCCTGGGCCACCCACTAGGGACTTGTTTTAAAAATATAGTGTATTAACAGAAAAGTTGAGGTTCAGTAAAGTCAACAGACCAGGAGATGATTGCCTTGAAAAGATTGCTGCTAACAGTTTCCAAGAAGAGGGAGCATGCCACCCCATGGCGTGTGTGTGTGTGCGTGCGTGCGTGCGTGTGCGCGCACGCACAAACTGGAAGCACCAGGATCTGTCAGGAGGTGAGGTGGGAGTGGGAAACGTGGGTCAGAGCCTTTATTGGCTCTGAAGGAAAGAATAGGTGAGGCAGAGCCAGCAAGCTTAGGATTGGCTGGTTTGAATAATCTCAGTGGGCTCTGGGGCATAGGGCTTTCCCTAGTTGTCTGGTACCTGGCCCTGGAGTCATAGGGCAGGTGGAGAGTGGCCTCTAGTGTGAGAGCCTGATAAAGGATATAGCTGGGGTGCAGGCTCGGGATTGGTCGGTTTGCCTATGCAAGGCACACTCATAAGCAAGTTGTTTTCTTTTTCAAGGAATTAGCCCCATCGGAATACAGAAAATACAAGCCATGACTGATACAAGGCTTAACTACAGTAGCATCTTTTGTCCTACACAGCCCAGGGGGGTAGCTCTCATTTCATGGAGATACAATCTGTTTCCCTACTTACTATGAAATTAGGAAGACAAAATTTAAAAAAATAATATCCACCTCATAACTTGATTGTAAGGATATTATTGTTGGTTCTATTATTTGTTTTTATTATCTGCCTCAGTAGTGTGGGATGGGAAACTTGGTTTTCCTCAGAAAAGAGCTTGTTTTGTCTAAATAGGTAGAGACTTGTCACTATCTAATATTTAGAGCAAGTCTCCAAGGAAGTACTTTTCTATTACCCTCTGCCTTCGAGGAGCTTATGCACTACAGAAAAGTAATAGTCACACCCAATTCCTTTACAAAGGCCAGGTTAAGGTGTGGTTTTAACAGTATTGTTTTATCTTATTCACACAGTTAAATTCATTCTTTTTTTTTTTTTTTTGCCCAGGGATCCTAACTGTACTGTTGTGCCACCAGGTAGCCTCACTAGAAGGTTGTCTCTGATAAATTCCTACAACTTTTTCTCTAACAATGCTTTTCCCCCCAACTTCTCCCTCATCCCCTCCTCTCTCTCTCCCTGAGGGTGAGAGCATGCGCGGACCTACTTCAGAGACAGTTCCTTTATTTCTATAGCAATAGCCTTCCCCATCGCTCCCCTCCAGGTGTTCCTTCAGTATAGACACCTGGGCATCTATTTCAGTCTCTAGCCCACCCCCACAATGGCATTTCGCTGTGTTTTCAGTGACAAACGGAACAAAATATTGCTGTGGCTTTCTTCTTCATGTGGATATATACGACATATATATCAACGGCTTAAACTAACTCATATTTGCGATTGGAAACATTTGTGTAAGTGTGGGCCAGTGCACAATGGATAATGCGTCTGACAACAGAAATGTTTTGTTGCATTATATATTGTTAGTATTTATATAACAAGATCTCTGATAAAACTATTTTGCCAATAGCTCATTTTGCTTATTTTCTGAGCATATCATGTGATTAACCCTGTAGCCAGTTTTACAAGATTCTTAACAATAATGTAACATACCTATGTTTGCTTCAATATGTAAAACTTTTGAGTAATGGGTTGGACATTTTTGTCTTCACTCTGTATTTACCAAATAAAATTAATTAACTCTGTCCCAGAAACCAATATTTTGTACTTGTACTGGAAAAACTCCATTGGTTTATTAGAATGTCACTGCCGTGGCTTGTCGAATGACTCAAAACCTTCGGTGGTGTCCTCAGACCAGCTTTGCCAACTTTGCTGGGAGCGAGCGGGGGCTTAGGCAAGGTGAGCTTTGATCTAATCAAATGCAGTTTTCAAATATTCATTGTGGAAAGTCCTCCTATTCAATTTTAATTTTCAACCACTTTGTGTAAAATCATCACACCTGCAGATCTGCTAGACCCAGGAGTCACAGTTACCTGTGTGTTCATAAGATTATTCTGATCTATAGGATGGATACACCTTACTGTCTCCATCACTATTTTATGCTTCAGTGAACAGTTTTGAGCCACTAATCCCCTTTTTAAAACTGGAAGTGAGTTGAATCTAACCCAACAGCAATAGTAGAGATTGCAAATTTGATCAACATAAATAAGCAAATGGTGTGAAAAATACAATAACCAGGATGAACCCTGCTAACGGAATGTTATTTAAGGCAATCTGATTAATGGAGTTCTTGAGGAAAAGGCTCAACATTTAAGTATGCAGTGGTTACTGAGAACAAAACGGGATTTCTGTGAAAATATTACAGTCTTCCACTTCCAATTCACGAAGTGTGGCTACAATTGTTTTGTTGCTTTTTTTTCTGAAACCCCCAAAGTGCCTGTGGCCACTGGAGCCATCACTGGGTTTCATGCTTTGAGAACTCTGGTCCAAGCGAGAAGTGGGTTCCTCGGGGGGCAGGTGAGAACCCACGGGATCTGTCTGGACTTCATCAACTCTGGCCCGGTCAATCACCAAAATACTTAGTGGGCTTTCCTGGCCGATTTCTCTGGATTCCTTAGCCTTGGAGTCTGTCTGTCTGTCTGCTCAAAGGATCCACTTGCCTGGCATAGTGCCTGTCACAGAGTAGTTACTCAGTTATAGGCCTTCTGCTCGGGTTGTCAGAAGTTGAATATAACAATGATTGATTACAGAATACAATTTACTACTATTGATTATAACAGAATTGGAAGCATGGCGCAATCAGATTCAGCATTTCGGAGGAAAAAAGAAGTCTGTGGCCTTGGCCAAGTGATCAGTTGAGTGGCTTTGTTTACCAACCCAACAGATGAGGAAGGTGACAGCATTGCCTCAGGGCGTGAGTGGTGGAAGGCCACTCAACCTTCCTGCTGGCTCTGGTTCACCAAGAGAGCTTATCAATTGTGGGCAGACATTAGCAAAGGCCGGCTCGCTTTCAGATATGAAGATTTTACGGCTGTACACACACCCTCAACTATTAAAAATGACCTTTATTATTGAAATTTTTTAGGAAAAATAAACATTATAGTAGAGCATTTGAAACTCTCAATTTCCTCTTGGAAATAATTGCTTTTACAATGCAATGTTTAAAAACCTGTTTTCTTAGGAATGCAATTACCCTATAATATTGCTAATTTAATATGACTTTTCTTTTTATATAATTAATAGGCTTTGTTTTTTAAGAGAAGGTTTAGGTTTACAGAAAATTGGTTGGAAAGTACAGCATTCACTCATGCCCCTCTACACATCATACACACAATTTCCTCAATTATTAACATCTCATGCTGGTGTGATACGTTTGTTATAATTGATGGACAAATATTTATACATTATTATTTAAAGTCCATAGTTCCCATTAGGGTTCACCCTGGATTGTATATTCTATTGACAAATGTATAATAACATGTATCCACCATCATATATCACACAGAACAGTTTCAGTGCCCTAACAATCCCTTGGGCTCGATCTTCTTTTCTATAAACCTCACTTGGTTATCCAGAAAAGAGCATTCTTATCAGGATTTGCTCTTGCTTAAGACTGACAGTGGCTTTTCTCCGGCCCACAGAGTACAAGCTCATGGCCCAGTGTCAGGGCTTCCAGTCTGGCCACAAGCTGTAACTCCACCTGCATCCCCCACTGCTTCCCTTTTAAGCTCTTCTGCAGCTGTGTGTGTGTGTGTGTGTGTGTGTGTGTGTGACATTCCCCACATGTGCCCCTCACTTCCCTACTTCCTGCCTGTTTATGCTGTTCTATCACCACGAAGTCCCCTGTGCCCATCTCCTCAGAGCTGCTGTCTCTTGTCAAAGGCCATCTCAGGAGCTGTTTGATATTGTTTCTTTGTGGTTGTCATCTCCTGCTTCTCTGAGCTTCCCTGAAAGTGTCCCTGTATCTCTTCAATGGCATTTATCATTTTTCCATCCTGTTCAGTGGTACTTGTCTTATCTTCTCCAGTTGAGCATAGTAGATAAGACAACATACTCTGGAATCGAAGTCTTTATTGCTGACTTTTGATCTCAGTGTTCGGTATACACATATGTAACATGGGGATGATAAGTATGGCATCGAATACCTAGAGTTGTGTGAGGATTAAATGAGCTAATTCCTGTAGAGCGTTTACAAGACAGCCTGACCCCTGGGAAATGCTCTCATTAAGTGTTAGCTGTTTATTGCCACCACTGCTGTTCCCCCTTTATCCACGGTTTCAGTTTCCACAGTTTCAGTTATCAGCAGTCAACTATAGCTGAAAATATTAAATGGAAAATTCTAGAAATAATTCATAAGTTTAAAATTGTGTGCCGTTTTGAGTAGCGTGATAGGATCTCAGCTGTCCTGCTCCATCCTGCCCAGGATGAGACTCATTCCTCTGTCCAGTGTTTCCACACTGTATACACTCCATGCCCATTAGTCACTTAGTAGCCAGCTCGGTTATCAGATCGACTGTCACAAGATCGCAGTGCTAGTGTTGAAGTAACCCTTATTTTACTTAATAATGGCCCAAAGTGCAAGAGTAGTGATGCTGGCAATTCGGACGTGCCAAAGAGAAGCGGCAAAGTGCTTTAAGTGAAAAGGTGTGTAGATCTAGGTAAACAACAGTATTTATAGGCTTCCATACTAGCTACAGTTTCAGGCATCCACTGGGAATGTATCCCCTGGAGATGAAGGGGGACAAAAACGGGAGAATCAGTACCTGTGCTTGCTTCTGGTTGGCTTGGTGGAGGCAGCAGCACTTGGCCTATAGGACAGAATCCCCAAAATGAAGGAGCCAGGCTCCCAAAGATGGAAACTCAGAGAAGGGGGACGCTGTTCTGCTCAGCAACCTAAAGGAGAAAGGACAGATTTCCTTGGTGTTTATATGATTCCGACTGTGCCCACCTGTCTCTGTGCCCACGACCACTTCTACTCCACTTCCCTTGGTGCCTAAGAAAAGCCGTGCAGCTGCGGGGCAGGCTGCTTCTCCAGCTTGTTTCCAGGGAACTGACAAATGTACTTAATGGGACTCTAGGCCAGTCTGGAAGTGCCAGCTGGGGTTGCCAGCCTTAGCCTGTGTGCCATCCACAGTACCACGGTGGGCCTATGGTACCCTGGCACCTGAATGTAAGGCAGCACACGCGGAAGGAGAGAAGGAAGAAAAGGTGCTGGGCGGGTAGTAGCAGGAGTAGGAGAGAGTGGGGAGGATCACACGCAGTACAATTCCACCCAAGGGAATCGCCATGGAAAGCTGCCTGTGCTCACTGTCCTGAGCTCTGCAGACAGTCCCCAGGAACTGTACCTGCTCAGGGCCTTCATTGATTAGATGGATGGTGGCCTTCCTTAGTGGTGGCCTGCAGGACTGACAGGCCTGCTGGGCAGGGAGGTGGAGTAACATCTGACAGCATTGGATAGAAGCCAGTTTGACTGGTTCGTTTATTTTTACCATTCTGTTTTGACCCAACAGAGACAGCATGTCTCAGTGTGCTGGTTCCAGAAAAGGGGAGAGGAGACTCTCCACCATTATCTATCATCTATCTATCTATCTATCTATCTATCTATCTATCTATCTATCTATCTATCTATCTATCTATCTATCATCTATCTATTTTATTGGGGTAACATTGGTTAATACAATTATATAATTTTCAGGTGTACATTATAATTTGACATCTATATATTCTATTGTGATTACCACCCAGAGTCCGGTTTCCTTCAGCTACCATATATTTGATCCCCTTCACCCACTTCACCCTCCCCCAATCCCTCTATATTTGATCTCCTTTACCCTGTCTACCTCTTCCCTCCTCCCCCACCCCCTACCCTCTGGTAACCACTCTACCATTTTTTGATCTCCTTCATGCTCCGATTCTCATCTCTACCGGGTTGTACCCTCTCAAGGCTGGATGTGGTGAGAGGGAGGAGTAAAGACGCCAGCCGTGGTGAGTTTGAGAGCAGAGCCAAGTCAGGGCCAACAGTCAGTGGAAACACGGGAAGAAGGCACAGAAATACAGGGAGGAGGTAGGGCTGTTACTGGAGAAGGCTCCAAAGGAAGAGGGAGACTGTGCAGGCTGTCATGACCAGCTGGGTCCAGCTTCCTCTCACCTGCTGGAAGGAGATGAAAGTCTCCCAGCTACCATCTTCTCTCTCAGCTCTGGCCTTTCTTCTCTCTCAACCCACTGCCCACTTCACCCCACCTCTCCTTGCTAAGCCCATACTGGTTTCATTTTCACTTTTCTATGTTCTCATTATGCCCTGGAGTATATCCACCACTGCACTTACCGTTTGCTTTACAATGATCTGTAAATAGGGTCATCTTTTTCACAAATCTATGTGCCTGGGGTCAGGGGCTGGGTCCCATTCATCAGGTAGCTCCATGGCCTTACCCAGCCCCAAACATAAGCTATGCTTAGTTAAGTGTTGAATAAGTATCTGTCTATTGTGACATATGGACATCCTGAAGGTGACACAAACAGCAATGTGACACTAATGGTCAGGGGGATTACCTTTCTACCTGAGGGTAATGGATGGAAGGAGGATAAAAAGGTATTTTTTCAAAAAGTGAACATTAAATAGCTGAATTGTGAATATAATTTATAATCAGGTAAGTTTTTCTTAGATATGGGCAAGGTACAAAGGAGAACAAAAGAGAATTAGACAGGAGACAGACCTGTGCTCCCTACATCTGCCCAGATGACCCAGTTGGAGGTGGACTGGAGGCTACATGGCCATGCCGACTATGTGAGGCCAGCAGCCGTGCTCTGGACTCTGTCCCACTCTTAACTGGCTTCCCTCTCGGGAGGTTCTTGTCAGAACAACCGTTTTCCCAGAATGGACTCGATTGGCATATAGTCAAGCCACTTAGTAGTAGCTTCTTTGGTAGCTGGGGTCCCCCGCTCATTCATCACTGCTTTAGCCAGCAGAACCAAGAGACCTGGAGGGTCCACAAGTCATTTTTATCCTAATGCCTTTGAAACAGTCTTCTCAAATAGAAAGACCAAGTTTGACATCTCAGGCACAAGGATGAGACAAAAGGAAAAGTCTCGTATGGCCTTTTCTTCTTTGAACAGCCACCTAAGGTGGCATGGGGCCCTGCCTTTCTCAGGAGAAGTGTTTTGTTTGGCGGTAAAATAGATATAACAAAAAATTTACCATTTTAACTATTTTTAAGAGTATAGTACAGCGGCTGCAAGTCCCCAAGGTTACTTTTAGTATTTCAGAAACCTGAAGGAAATCCTGGACAGGCCTTACAGTTACGACTGCCAGGCACTGTCTTCGCCTTTGAGCTCTGTCGCTCTCAGGGTGCTAGCATGGGTAGCTCATGCTGATCAGAATCCCTGAGCACACACGGTGGGTGTTTAGTAACAACAAATGAGGCATGAATTATCACTAAAACAAACCAGGTTCCTCCAGAGAAAAGTATTTTACAACCTTGCTCCTCAAAGGTGGCGTGCAGAGCGGCGTGGGCTTCGCCCGGACCTTGGCTAGACACCAGCCTCCTCCCCTCCAGACCTTTGGAATCAGGTCTGTTTTAACAAGATCCACTTTTACTTATTTACGCCTTAAAGATTTGAGAACTACTCAAGATGAGGAATCCATGGAAGACAAAAAGTGAGTACTATAAACAGTTTGGGAATTACTCGTTTATGGAAGTAAAACCATGAAGTAACCCACTAAAACTATCAAAGAAACAGGAGTTTTAAGCCGGGGGACTGTATCACTGGCACAGAGCCCTTGCTTCAGGGATGGATGATTCAATTCCACGCCACCATTAATAAGAATCCTGAGAATCTTAACCTTCAGTGAAGATTTTGCAGGAGAGCCAGGGAGGAAGTTGACGTCACACATCTCACAGTGATTTAACCTCCCACATGGCTATGCATCTCAAAGGAGATGGAGGGTACGGTGGACCTCCAGCTCTGCTCTTCCTCTGAAGTCTGGTGTGGCCCATCTGGGCCCAGGGGGTTCAGCTACTACTCCCCAGATTAAAGCAGGTTTCTCTCTACACAGAAATTCTCTGAGTAGCTAACCAGCTACTAAGAGAATACAATTTCTCCATATGATCATATTTGCAGTTCTTTTCCAACAAGTTACTGTGGTCGTTTGAAAGAAATAGAGCTAATTTCGCCAGATTTTAATACAGAACAGTAACTCCCTAATTGCGTGGAAACTCATTCTGTAAACTCTTGCTTTGATTGATAATCTACTATTAAAAGAGACCAGAACTACAACATATCTAAGCTTGACACTGTTTATGTGCCATTAGCCCATCAAATTTGTCCAAAATCTGTGACTGTTCTATAGAAAGGAAAAAGGTTCAGAGAAGTTACCAAGCCTGTGTCAGGTCACCAGGCTACAAGATAACAAAACCCATCGTTCAAATCCAAGTGTATCTCACCCTCAGATCTATATTTCTGCACATCAGACTCCCGTAAACCGTGTCAGGCAGCTGCCTTTGTATTATTCCTGGTTGTTGCAATCTCTCTGGCCCAGGTCATATCTGCTCTGAGGCACAAATGGGACACTGACAAGTACAGGCTTTGTAGGCTGTGAGGGTCCTCACAGATGTTAGATGGCATGTAAATGGCCAAGAGGCTTTTCCATTTCCTGATCTTTCAGACATCAAAATAGATCAAGAAAGGCTATTGTTTAAAGGTTCCT